TGGGTAAAACACGGCGGAAATGCAATGGTGGGAACATGTTCACACGTGGAAAACACGTCACAAAGTTGTGACATAGTTCTGGCACCAATTAAATTTGGTTCCCATAAGATTCTCACGTCACTAATTTGTGACTTGGTTTTCACATGAGGCTTTGCTCGTGAATTCTTGCACTAATTAAATTGGTTTCCATGTGATTTTCACGTCACTAATTAGTGACGTGATATACATGCTACAACAAAAATATGTTTTATAATAGTGACATTGTTTGCACTTCACTATAAAATTTAATAATAAAAAAATAAAAATAAACATTAACTAAAAACAGCTATAAAATTAAAATAAATATTAAATATTAACTATAAAATTTTAAAAATTAAAATAATATATATTAAAAAAAATATAAATATTTAGTTACATGAAATTCACGTCACAAATATAAAAATGTTTAATCTAATATGCATGTTAACATGACAAGCAAATGTCATATTCATCTTCGATAGAAGGTAAAAACGTTGTTATTCATATTCATGGTCAATGAATGGTATCACACTCACATGAATAGCATGATTCAACCGATGAGAGTCCTCTCATTTAGTTGTTAGACCATAATGAAGAAGAAAAATAGTGAAATATGCTTAAAACTATTCTTTAAATATTCAATCTCTTAGTTATGGAGAGACGTTCTCCATTTTCTAAAAAAATATAAATATTTAATTAATGTCATAATTTCAAAAAGTATTTTAATCTATATAATTGATTTAGTCTAAAACATATTAATAAACATTTTCACTTTTTATTTATAGAAATCGAGACGATATCTATCCTTTTAGTTTCTTAAAAAATATTTCATTTCTAGCTATTCTAAAAATATATATTTTACTACAAATTATTTTTATTTTTTTCTTTCAACCACAACACAATAAACAAAAATAATATTTATAAAAATATCAACAACAACAAAAATATAAATATTCTAAAATTTTATAATATATCAACAAAATAATATATCAACCACAACACAACACAATAATATATCAACAAAAAAATCTAAAATAGTCACTATTTTTTAAATTGAAAATAAATATGAATGAAAATGGTCACTATTTTTTAGATATTAAAAATTATTTTAATGTAAATTTTATAAAAACTATTGACATCTCAATTTTAAAGAAAATCAACCTTTGCATATACACTTTTATTTTCAATACAAACGAGTCAATTGTAAACAATAAAATGGGTTTACTTAGATATTTACACAAAGCACATCATCTCCCCAAATTCCTAACAAAACAACACATCATGCAAATCTAAAACAATTGATAGATAAACGTTTTGAGAATGGATGTTATAACATCTAAAAAATTTTATACAAATATTTATTATGGTTAATCATTAATAAAATAAGGCTCAATTTATTTTACCACAGTTAAACCACATACCATCCTTAAAAATTTAAGACGATCATGAATTGACATAGTACACAAAGCTCACTTCACCCTTAAATAATTTAAGAGTATTCTTAAATTTCTAGTTGAAAAACACATCTTTATATAATTTAAATTGAAATTGACAATTACAAGATACGGCCGCATAATTTAACCTTCAAAATATATGCAATAACATCGCAATCGAAACAAAAGATTATTTCAACCACCATAAATATGAAATGGTGGCTAAAAGTCGAAATCGTATGATTGGGATCGATCAAAATAAAATAAAAAAGCAAACTATAAATTGCAAAAATTATAAAACAACCAAAATAAAAAAATAATATTTACCATTATTTCGGCGGGGCCTCTTAGATCCAAATGAAGTTTGATTTTCGTTCTAAAAGAAAATTCATAAAACAAAAAAACGAATTAAACTATTAATTCTAAACATATTAGAGCAATACATAAAAATATAAAAAAAATTGCATAAAAACGAAAGCTAACTCACATTCAAAAAAGCCATTAGAAAAGTTTACGAGACAAGAGGGAGTGAAGTAACAATGAGAAATAAAAAGACAACTCAAAGACACGGTATTAATAATATTTAATAATTATATAAACCGGTTAGGACATAATGAATGAAATGGGCCGCGAGTTCTTAAACTCGACATTGGGCTTAAGATTTAAGCTATTTAAAAAAAATTGGTGTTCTATATAAATTATGTATCGAAAATCTTATTTTTAATATATATATATATATATATATATATATATATATATATATATATATATATATATATATATATATATATATATATATATATATATATATATATATATATATATATATATATATATATATATATATATATAATTGTTTAATACAACTTAAATGAAAATAACATATATTTTACAAGAAAATTTAAAGATTACATCAACAAAAACTACAATAAAATTATAGCACAAGTGGTATAAATGAATCTTTCACTATGAATTTGTGTATATTCATATAGATTTTTATTAGTATTTTTGTCTACGAATTTAGTATATTTGAACAAATGTGCATTAAATCTTATTTTCTCACTAGCAATAACGTTTGCAAATCCAAATGAACTATATTTTCAAGCGAGTATCAAACATTTTCCTAGTTAATATATCAATGTGCTTGTATTTCTTTTTAGAAAACATATTTTTTAAAAATTTTAAATTTCATTAACAAGACAACTCAAAATAGTCTGTTGGTCTTTGTAAATTAGTCAACTTTTGAGTTTGATCCCTGTAATTTATTTATTTTGGTATGAGTCCTTATATCTCACTTTTTGCGTGTGGTTTATTACCTAAAGTCAAAATCCATAGATTTTCTGCGAATTTTCCTTTCGGTTTTCTTGCGAATTTTTCCTTTAGGACTAAAATCCACGCAAAAAGTAAAATATAGGAACTCATACTCAAAAAACTAAATTACCGGAACTAAACTCAAAAACTCACTAACTTACAGGAACCAAAATACATTTAAACCTAGATAATATTATCTAATAAAATTTGAAAATTTTCAATCTCATGATTTGCTAAAAATTCAACTTCATTCTTAATATTTGGATCATTATTTTATTCAACTATTTAAAATAAAACTTCTCTGACGTTTGAAGCATGAGATTTACTTGCATTTACAACCTTGTATACTATCTCTTAAAATATTCAATATTTAGTGAATGGATGAATGAAGAGTTGTTGTGAAATAGAAAAGTTTAATCACACTAAACTTTTTTATACTTTTTTATACGACGAACAAATAATAATAACAATCAAAATAAATAATCTACTCTAAAATTAATGTACACGTAGAAGAATGCTAACAAATCCACACAAACAAGAAGAATAAGATAAAATGACAAGTATATAGAGAGTTTGTTTATTAAATTCGATCAAACCAATCAACTCTTAGGTGGAGGAGAGGGGAGATAAGCTCTCAAATTAAGTATACTTCAAAAATTGTTGCAAAATATTTGTAATAACCCTCTTTAGCCTTAATCATAGTTAGAAGAATTGTTAAAATTTAAGAGGAGATTAGTACAAAAATTAATCTAAGTCTCTAGCCCTAATCTTCTGGGTGACATGTTGGTAATTAGGAGTAACTGTCAAGGTCAAAATGGAAATTGCACATAGTGCATATTTAAAGAGAAAGGCTAGATGGAATGAGAGAGGCAAGCAAATGAGTGAGGGAGAGAAGAGGAGATTGTTGATCAACACTTTTGAAGAAGACAATCAAGTATAATCAAATATACATAAATTTTTCAAACTTGAGCCACACATATACTTTCAATAGTATCGAGTAATGTAAAAAAGCAAAAACTAAAAAAAAAATCAAATATACATAATATCAAGTATAATCACTTAATATTTCCTTATTGAAATAATCGAGAATCTTTGACAACATTGTCATTTTGTTGGTCTTAAAATGTAAGTGTAGTAAGTTGTGCCAACAAAAATTCACAAGTGGTAAGTTAACATTATCAATCCAAAAAAATGGTGATTATTTAATCAAGATGAAAGATATTATACTTGTTATTAAAAATGATTGACATAACTCTAAAAAGGGGGTGTGAGTAGCACGATTGAATCAGTTGTGCAAATATTATGAACTAGGTTAACCGATAAAACTTATAATAAAAGAAACGATTAATCCTCCCTTTGAATCCTTTTCCCTTTTCATGTGTTTAAACCCTTCTTTTGGACCTATAATGAGTCTTAATATATCAGGACTATTTTAAAAATTGTTATGCACGATTTCTCGTTGTATAACCCACTTTGTATGATTACAATTCCCCTTTAAATTTTTTATCTTTCAAAATTCTTTGAACCTCACTTTCGTCTGCACTTCATCTAAAATAAAAGTATATCTTTTTAACATAAATAATAACATCATTGACATTCTTAAAGGAACCATAATGATCTTTATTAGAGTAAAGTGTGTTCTCATTACTTATTCTATTCGCCAAGTCCTCGATGTTCTTGTAAAAAAAATTATTTGTTTCATAATATATTTATTATTTTTCATTCAAAATCAAAAGAATTGATGTGAAATTATTTATATTTAATATCTTCAAAAGTATACTTAACAATTTCTACAACTTTCCATTTATTACAATTGAGGATTTTATAAAAACTATAACTAAGTTATTGGTATGAAAGATTAGTTCAAAGTAAATGCTATACAAACTTCAAAGTAGAAGTGTTAATAGCACTAACTCTAACTATGCAACACTCATTTTTTATTAAAGATCTTTACAAACTTCAAAGTAGAAGTGTTAATAGCACTAACACTAACTCTACATTTGGTTGGATTTCAGTTCACATAAATTGGTTAAACCCTCTTTTTGAAAGAGTTGCATTGCATGTAAGTCTCATCATTTTGATGAGTCAATATAATCATTGAAATTATATCAAGTAATCCAACCAAACAAGATTTACAAGACTTAATTAAACCAAAATCAACATTGGTTGATTGATAAAATTTAAATATGAAACTTTTACAAAAAATAAAATAATAGAAAAATCAACTAAGTAAAATGATCATAATGAAGTATTATTATAGACACTGACTCGGCTAATTTTTCTTTTCGGCTCTAAAGCCACCAACGATGGAGAGCACGGCTCCAGCTCACGCCGCTTACTAGTCACTCTCATCGGCTCCAAAGAATCAGAACCAATCAAATGTGGAAAATTAACCTTAGCCTTCGAGCCGCGCAAATTAAAAGCGGCTCGGTCATAAGCTAAAGCCGCATCCTCAGCCGACTGAAAAGTCCCAAGCCACACTCTTCCGCCGTTCTTTTTCGGATCTCTAATTTCAGCTGCAAACTTTCCCCACGGCCTTCGCCTCACTCCCTTATATTTTTGCCAACATGGAGGCGCGTGAGTTTCACGATTTACCTTAGGCGCGTGATTTTCACGATATACCAGAGGCGCGTTGGTGGCGTCACAGTGAAGAGTTATTGACGTTGAACCACAACTAGTATTGCCACTGTTGGTGGGAGAAGATGGAGCCACGCCGTGAGATGCGGCGGAAACAGCGGCGAGAGGATTGAAGTCATGGTGGTCGTTGAGAAGGTAGCGTTGAATTGAATCGAGAAAAGCGAGATCGGATTCAAGAGTTGTTGTAGCTTCGAGATTCATATTCTTTCAACAACGTTGTACTAAATTTGCAAGTGTTCGATGTTAATTACGTATGGGTCTGTTTAATGTAACAAGTGTTGCATTGTATTTATATGCTGCATCTATGAATATTATGTTGTTGAAAAATGAAAAGTGGTTGGCTTTGAGACCATATTTTTTGTTCTCCTTCCTGGAACCATAGTGGGGACATGTTAGCTTCTATCGAAAAATGTTTATTAAAATATAAGGTATTAGTCATGAGTTAAAGGTGTTTAAGATAATATATTACTTCTTTTTATTAAAAGTTCAGGAATCAGTTTTATTTATTTCTAATGGTATAAATTTATGTTGAAGGATGTTGACATTTTTTTTCCTATGATTAAATCATTTAAAGTATTTCTTTATAATTTACAATTTTAGTTTCTTATTTTTTAATTTAGAAATATATAAATTCAATTATTAAAATTTTATTAAAAAGTTCTACCACTCAAGGTGACGTGGAAAATCACATGAAGACTGAATTTTATTATTTTTATTTAATATTCATGCTATTAGAATATGAAATTTAATATGAAATTATTTTTGAGTTAAAATTTGGCCCCTATTATGTGATAAATAATAAGTTTGTTTTAATTAGAGTTGTATTGTGATTTTGGTCCGACAAAACAAATTTTCATATGATAAAGTTGATTTACAAAGTTAACACTTCAATGTCTAAATTAGTGAGAAAATAAAAAGTGGTGTAAAATTGAGAATGTATTTGAATGCCTAAAATATCACATTTTTCTCTTTATATAACGAGGACGATTAAAATCATTCATGTGGGGGTGAGGCGTATAGTGTTGGTAGTCATTGAAACTAATCAGAAGGTGTTAGACATGTCTAGAAGGCAAAATTTCTTGCTATTGGACGAACGAGAGATCACATATTCCACGCACTTTATTCCTTGGTGGTGATATTGCGCCTTTTGCTTTAGGCCTTGGAAACGGCCCAGAACAGTTTGTCTTTAAGTTTTTGTCTCTACTTTTCAAAACGAGGATTTGTTGTATACGATCTAGCCCATATTTTTGGCCTGAGTAAACTGAGAGCCTTGATGGGACGTCGCTATCATTGGGAACAAGCACACTTATTTTTTATGTAATGACATTTGGCCTTGTTGAAATGAATTGTGACATGTGTTCTAAGAAAGTACTTTTCCTCTCGAATTTTGCATTCTAAATATTTGAATCTTGCACTTGATTTTGCCTTGTCATATCTTGAAATGAGTTACCATGTATTAAATCAAATGGAATCAAAGTCCATGATAAGCATTAAGTAAGTTCCCAAGTAGAAAATGGTCAACAAGAAGTCAACCTCAAAGTTGACTTTTGTTGACCAAAATCAAACCTGACAATAACCTCCAAATCTCAATGCCATGATGTAAATAATATGATCGAAGATCAAAGACCAAGATTTATGATTTTAAAGCCTTAGGCCTAAAAGAAATGACCAACCAAAAATGTTGAGACCTTAACCAACAGTAAAAAATGCATAATGAACCATTAGCTTGATGAAACCCTAGCTTGTGACTTACCCACAATTGGATGCTCTATATAAATTTTATACATAACAAGACCTTTGAATCAATGATGCTTATTTTAGAATATGCAATTGTAAATAGATGCTCTAAATAATTATGAGTATGCAGATGAAGTGAGGATCATGAGCCAGATAAAAATAGAGAAAGGTAAGGAAAATTTTGGGGTATGACAACTAGGTTAGCACTCCAACTCCCAAGTCAATTATAGAGTGCAAGACGAGTCTAGTAAAAAGTGGAGATCAAAAAGTGTACCTTGAATCTCGTGTGTGCTAATTATATACGTTGGATAATCTTGATTAGGTCGGTGCATGATTAGGCATTTGTATTGGGCCTCTGGCCGGCCCGGAGCAGTTACCCATAAAGTTTTCCAGGAATATATGAGTCGAGAAGTCTTTTCAAAGTCGTGGTCGGTCCTATGCGAAGATGTATAATCGTGGTGAGGAGTAGAAACATTTTAGAAAGGTTAGAAAAGTAATGGGGAACAAGTGTATTAAATGCTTTCATATCATTGATACATTTTATTGGTTTTTCGATACATGTTGTTGTAGGTTATTAATTTAGGAAATTGTGCTTCCCCTTAGGACATTCAAGTGCTTTTGAGTTTGTTTACATTTTCGAGGTGAAACCTAACCGTTGATTTGTAACTTCTTATTTCCATAGATCTGGCATGTTGATTGCCTCCTTCTATATATAAGGAATTTGAGCTTTGGGAGAACTTTTCGTTATCCTTGAAAATCAGTTTCCATTTGTGAGTGTCTTTCCTTCTTCTTTTGGAGCATTTCTCAGAGTGCTTGCTATTCTTTGAACAACGCCTCATGTTTCTCACCTAACCTTAACCTTTAATACCAAGCTCTACTTCTCCCATATACCCTTCTTACGCTAAGCTTTTTCATCTCTTCACATTTTCTTTATCATGGCAATATGAATGATAGTCTCATAAGTTTATCTATGGATTCTAGGAGTAACGACTTTTCTCCTTTAGTTAGGGCAGAGGTATCTTCTAGTCCAAATCTTACCCACTTAACCCATAATTGTTACACCTTAAACCCCAACTCTTTATGTATAAAAGATAAGCATATAATTTCTCAAATATAGGTGTTACACATGCTTAACACGCATCTTTCATCAACGTAATAGCATAAAACATGCAACGGAGTAAAAAATCAAAACTTTAAATAAATCATTTATTGGTCTCAAAATTATTTACTTAATTAAATAATCCAAACGACTCAAGAAAACGTAACATGTAACAAAAACAACTTGTCACCAGTATTACATATCAGAGCGGAATGTAGAATATAATAAGTAAACTCAACAAACGATAAATAAAACAAAGTAGGCATATACGCCAATTCTTCCACACAACAACAACTAATACTCCTCTACTTGAGTATTTGTTCCATCGATCCAACAAGCTATACAAGAAAACAGAAAGGGGTGAGAAATACGTTCATAATGTTAATAGTGTAATAAGCAGTTAGGATAATATCATACACAACATTCACCAACACATGAACTATTCACAACAATAATAATCACTTCACAATGCCAATATGCGAGAAATGCGATCAACGCCTCTAATGCATGTGGTATCAATCCTGGACATCAGGGTTATGTTACTAATTTCGTCCACTCATCAATGGTTCCTCTTCAAATGGGGTTCCCCTTTGAACCCCGACTCGCCATTGGTCCCCTCTTCTTAACTAGAGACTTGTCATTAGACCGAGGTCCTTACACTTTCACCGACACACATGATGTATGATATGCAACAACAACAATACACATGTGCATTAATCTCTAACTTTCACGTATTGTGAATTCTCACTCCCTCTATTCCACTAAAATATAAATTTAATTCTATTTTATTTTAGTTAATTATAATAATGTCCAACACTGTTCACTAACTCCTCCTCTTTACTTAGATTTTACTAAATTTTTATTTCTTCCCTAAAGCTCATAACTCCTCATTATTCTCTATTATTTAAATTAATTTAAAATAATATTAATTATAATAAAATACTACTTTAATTTTCCAATAACTCTTCACCACCCAATAAATCAATAATTCTATTTAACTAAATAAAAGCACACCAAAACACAATTAATTATTAAAAATATTAAAATACTACAAATTGATCTGACCTGATCAGAAAGGGATCGTTGGCTGCCACGCGTCTTCGACTTGTTGCCTGCTCATCGGTATTGAAGGAGTGGAGGGGGTGTACCTGCAAGACACTCTGATGCTAAAGTAAGCGTATGTGCAGAGTGATCACAAGCACAAAAAAAGGATAAGAAGAGATTTACCTGACCCTCTTGTGAAAGAGGGTATTTATAGAGAGACCCAAGTGATGGGCCAACGGCCACTCGTGTTGGGCTGGATTGTCAGGCTCACCCCAGGTGACTGTTAGGGCTTACGTGGCGCAGTGAAGACCAGGACGTGGTATTCGCCCTAGTCCAACTGTCCCGTGATCTCCGGAAACTGGGTTTGACCTGCTCTTTAGAAGATGGGCAGTTGGTCGGTGACGTGTCCCCGCGGAGGGGAGCACGTGGAGAACGTCTGTAGGACACGTTGCCATGCCCGACAGGGGAGCGGGTTCTGCCCGCGGAGGGGCAGGTCCTGCCCGCAGATGGGGCAGTGTCTGGTCGACGGGAGAGTCTTGTGCTCGACATAGAAGGGGTAGGTTCTGCCCGCGGAAGGGTATTACCTGTCCGCCGGGGACCTTGAGCTCGTGGGCTGCGGCCCAAGCTAGACTGGGCTTGGCAGGATATTACTGGGCTGGGCCTGCCTGGCCACGTCGGGGCCTAGGCCAGAATATTAATAATATTAAAATAAAATTGGGAGGCTCTCCGGATAAGGGAACCAGTTTTAGTGATTCTTCTTTCGATGCTATCTTTTTTGATGAGAATGTTGGAGATGTTTATATAGTTCGTTATATGCTTTCTTCATTCAAAGTTTCAAGGGCTTTAACTTTTCTTACTTAGCTGACTCCAGAGATGGTGGTTGCCACTTTGAACAAGAAAAATTCCAAAAACTTTGTCATGACATACGAAAAGGATTACAACTGAGTGACTTTGAGATTTAGGACCATATAAAACGAGGAACACATGCTTACTAAGGCATATGAGCCCTCATGCCCTTGCGCGAGGAACACACACCTGTGTTTTTTTACCAGTACAAGTAGAGATCTAACTTTGGAGAAAGGATGATCTATCGATGGGATTTTGCATGAATTAGGAGTCAATTCCCACAGACATGGCCATTATTCTGTATGTGAATCAGAATTGGTGTTGATTGATAACATAGGACTTCAGATTCGACGATGTTGATCTTTGGTGTGATGGTGTGGAGTGGATCCAAAAGGTTAAAACTCCAACGCCAAGTCAGTTACAGAGTCCAAGACGAGTTTAGTGAAAATGGAAATGAGAAAGTCTACATTAAATC